CTAAATTTTTAATATTTTTTTTAGGTATTCAAAATCTACAATGCTGGAAAATTTACTATAATTAACCTTATTATTCCTCTGTGGATTGCCCATTATCTTGTCAAATATCATGCCCAGGTATGTATGTATGTATGTATGTATGTATGTATGTATGTATGTATGTATGTGTATCTTTTTGCTGATTTAATTCCAATAACATATTTTATTTCTGATATTAGAAAGCTAGGCTTAGGATATGTTAAAGCACCCACTACCGCCACCACCACCACCACCACCATCAGAGTGCTGAAGTCAGAGTGCTGTAATGTTCCTTCTATTTTAACTTCTGAGACACAACAGAGGTTTTTTGTGATGAAGCAGGAATTTAGGATAGGCCTGTTTCCTGATTGGAATAGTGCTTGTCCTTTATTATTACTGTGTAGTATTACTGTGCTCAGCACTCATGATTTGGTGTGGAATGGTAGAACAGGAGAAAAGAAATATATTTGGTTTTTTTACTATTGAGTTAATTTGAGATCCAGTGGCAGTACCTAAGGTGATCTCTTTCTTTCTAATCTGATATGCCCCCACCAAGAAAATGCAACATGCAAAGATCTTTGATACCATGCTACTGCAAAATAATAATATTGAATGCCTACAGTTTGATCAGAACTTTGTCTAAATCCTTTTAAGGGTTGAGAGATTCTGGTTAAAGCACATAAAGTACAATGCATTGTGTCAACAGCTGTCCTGAACACATTGAGTCAATATTAATTGTTTTTGTGGGAAATGGTACATGAACCGTTAGATTTAATAACTGTTAACTACTTTTTTTGACAATAACGATCTTAACATTTTTCTTTTCCTATAGCTATCCAGCATATTGCCTTGGAAGTATTTTCAGTGATACTTCTCATCTTGCGTGACCTACTTGCTTTAAGTCATGTCACAATAATTTAATTCAGTAAGGTCTGGGGTTCGACTTGACTATTTTGGAATGAGAAAGTTTCTCTGCTATAGATGTTCTCTTGTGTGTTTAGGATCATTGTGCTACATGGCTCACATTTGTGTAAGCTTCAACTTAATACTACTCTGATATTCTTCTCTAGAACTTGGTAGTACAGTCATCCCAAAGGTGCTTTTCCAGGAGGCAACTGAACTTTTCTTGTTTTTCACTTGTCATCCAAGAAGCTTCTTCAGCTGCATGATGTTTTTTGTACCCATGACCTGGGTGACTGAGAATCTCTATAGACATTTAGCTATGCACTTTGGGATGAGCACCCTTCAAATGGTGCAGGAGTATGAACGGATTTTCAGAAAAAAACTACAGAAAAAAATTGCAGATTACAGGAACCATTTGCACGTCAGTTTGAGATGCGGAGGACACAGACTCATCCCCAACAGCCTGCACCTCTCTTCGAACAATGGCAGAAAAACGTCTTGCAGCAAAGAAGGCTCCAACCATTTGCACTACTCAGGTGATCCTGAGGACACAGATAAACCTCCAAGTGGCCTCAACGACTCTCTAAAAGAATGCAAATGACCAGCTGTCTGTAAGGAATATAAATCCTTTCATTTTCTACCATCCAGTCAAGGCTTAAGAAGCTTCTTGGATGAGAAGCGAAGCAATCTTCAAAGAAAAACAAAGTCCAGTTGCCTCCTGAAAAAGCACCTTTGGAACAACCATGACCCGGATGACTGAGAATCTCCATAGACACTTGGTAGTACAGTCCTGAATTGTGGAGTTGGAAGTGACCTAAGAGCTCACCAAATTGAATTCCCTGCACACTGCAGCATTCACTGCCTCATCCCCTATATCAAACTATCCAGCTTTCTTTTGAAAACGTCCAGGAAAGGGAAGATTGATAGTTCCTCCTGTCAAGATTTTTTTCTTTATGCCTTTGAAGTTTCATCCCATTAATTCTAGTCTTACTAGAAACAAGTGAGAATAAGTCAGAACCTTCTACAGTGTGAAGCCCTTCAAATCTTTGAGCTAGCTATCACATCTCCTTTCAAACCTCTCTTCTAACCTTATCTAGATCTTTTAATCACTCCTTGGCTTGTAGGACTTGACTTCCAATCTTTTCACCATGTTGGTAGCTCTTCTTTGGACTAGTTCCAGTTTATCAATATCTTTTAAACTGAGTTGTGGAGGACTGAACATGATACTCCAGATAAGACCTAAGGCTGAATAGAGTGGGATAATTACTTTCGTGTCATCTGATATCTGTTTCTTTTGAGGCTCCTCAAGATACCACTGGGTTTTTTGCTGCAACAGCATTACATTGCTGGGACATGTTGAACTTGTGATCCACTAATACAGTCAAGTTCTCCTTATATGTGCTGTTCTTGAGCAAGTTTTTCTCCATTCCGTATATGTTTCTTTTGTTTGTCTCACTTAGTGGCATTACATTTCTCCCTATTAAATGTCTTTTTTTTGTTTCCACTGACTGTTCCAGCCTAAGTTCTCCTTCCCTCTCTCCTGCCCGATGGTAGCCATTTAGCTAATGTATCCTGCCTTGATACCTGCTGCAAATTATCCATTGTTCATTCAATAATCATGAGCAATTTGGGTCACAGATCAGAAAACTGCCCTGAGCCATGTTGATTCCACCATCATTGTCCATGGTTGCAATGAAGATCTTTTGTTGGAATGCAGCATATCAATGGTTCCTCCCCCCCCCACCCCCAAATGTAGTATTTTTCATTAATGCCTAGTGGTTCTGCTTTTGCCTCATCTGTCAATGTAATGTCAACAGCATTATTCGAACAGCCTGCTATATCATCCATATGGCTTTTGACAAACTTGAGACAAGCAGAGGGTACTGGGGTGAGAAATCTGCTTTCAGTTGACTACAGCAGAGGTGGGTTGCTGCCGGGTTGGCAGTAGTAGCAGTAGCAGGAGGCTCCACCCACCCACCCGGACACTTCTGCGCATTCGCAGAAGTGTTGCGCGAGCGCCCCTGAACCGGTAGAAAAAAAATTAGCAACCCACCTCTGGGCTACAGCAGTGATTTCTTCCAGTACACAGCACTCTTATTCAGAAAATTTCTTACAGTGGATTTATGAACATTGGCATCTGAAAAAGCAAGAATGGCCTGCAGATTCCTGGAGTTGTTTGTGACCTAAGAAAAGTATTTTTTTAATTTTTTTTTAATTTTTAATTTAAAACAAATACAACATCCTTCTTTACATGCTATAGAAAGTGTATCAGTTGGTTACAAAAAGACTTTCGTGCATCTCTTCCACAGTCAACAAACATAATTCATATTAACTTAAGTATTTTAACTCAAATATTTATACATGTCACCTCACCATCATATCTCCATTTTCATTTGACTATAATTGTTTAAGCGTCCTTCATCATAA